TGTGCGGTAAGATAAAATTCATCCAGAAGATGAGAATGCAGATTGTAATAATTCTGTCTGCTCTAGATAATATATCTGTTCTGTTTTATGTTGGAACTTTCTTGACAGGAGTTGTTAAATTAAGCACAGTTCAATAGTTTATCTTTGCACTGCTCACATAAATCTTTTGTCAGTTCTCTGTAATTTGTAATCCATAATTTTTCATAAACTCTCTTACTGGTGAGGATGGATGGTGCTAGCAGTCTGCCAATCATCCAAAATTGGTTATAGTTCCAGAGTGAGTCTTTAAGAACTAGCCAATTTTTTTTTACAGATTTATAAAGGGGGGGGGGGTAAAACTAGAAGTGAAGGGGAGGTCGGCCTTGACAGCAAGGGCCCACTTATTCTCTGCTGATAATGATGTTATCAGAACCCAAGTGGAACCTGAGTAAATCAGCCCCCCACACACACACCTGTAGACTCACCTGTCAGTTGACTCTCCCCTGCAGGAGAGGCAGGGATGGAGGAATAAATTCTCTCTATCCTCAGCAAGATAAGTCTGGAGCCTTTAGGAACACTCCTGTTCAGGCCACCATTTCCCCAGAAGTCCTCTGAAGAATTATTGTAGATCTTCCATTTTAGCTATATAGTGTCTTGGCAGTAGTATGTGCGAAAAGGATTTAGGGGTCTTAGTAGACCATACACTGAACATAAGTCAGCAGTGTGATGTGATTGCTAAAAAGGCAAATGCGATTTTAGGCTGTATCAACAGAAGTATAGTGTTTAGATCATGAGATGTGATGGTACCACTTTACTCTGCTCTGGTTAGACCTCACCTTGAGTATTGTGTTCAGTTTTGGGTACCACAATTTAAGAAGGATATAGACAACCTGGAACATGTCTAGAGGAGAGCAACGAAGATGGTGAGAGGTCTGGAGACCAAGTCCTGTGAGGAAAGGTTGAAGGAGCTGGGTATGTTTAGCCTGGAGAGGAGACGACTGAGGGGGTGATATGATAACCATCTTCAAGTACTTGAAGGGTTGTCATATAGAGAATGGCGCAGAGTTGTTTCCTGTTGCCCCAGAAGGTTGGACCAGAACCAACGGGTTGAAATTAAATCAGACGTTTTTGGCTAAACATTAGGAAGAACTTCCTGACAGAGTGGTTCCTCAGTGGAATGGGCTTCCTCAGGAGGTGGTGGGCTCTCCTTCTTTGGAGGTTTTCAGACAGAGGCTAGATGGCCATCTGACAGCAATGCAGATTCTGTGAACTTAGGCAGATCATGAGAGGGAGGACAGGAAGGGTTACTTCAGTGCCTAGTTCTTGTGGCCCTTTCTTACACATCCAGGGAAATGCTGATTGCCACTTTGGGGTCAGGGAGCAATCCTGGAGGTTTTTTTGTCATCTTCTGGGCATGGAAGAGCAGTCACTGCAGGTGTGGAGGGGGAGGTATTTGTGAATTTCCTGCATTGTGCAGGGGGTTGGACTAGATGACTCTGGAGGTCCATTCCATGATTCTATGGTTCTGTGTAGGTCTCCCTCTCCCAGCCCAGCCAGTGGATATTCTGCTGTGATATCATGGAAGGCAGATATTACTCTTGGCAGGCAGGAAACATGATGTCTGGAAAGCTGATGAAAAACATCAGCAAAACAGGAAACACAGAGACACAGGGCGATTTCGCACTAGAGCTGCCTTGTGGCGCAGCCGCCATTTGCCCCGACACTATTTGTCAACTTCACACCCAAGGCTGCGGGGCTGCATTTGACCCGCGGCTTCGCCCGATTTCCTCAGCAGTTTCGTGATCCTCAAAAACCAGGATCACGAACCTGCGGAGGAAATCGGGCGAAGCCGCAAGTCAAAATGCAGCCCCGCAGCTTCGGGTGTGAAATTGACATGTTTGTGTTGGGGCAAACGGCGGCTGCGCCGCGAGGCAGTTCTAGTGCGAAATCGCCCACAGTATTTGAAAGACACAGAGAGACTTTTAACAGCTTTCCATTTGCTTATCACAAACTCATTTTGTCTTTGCCCAAGTGTAAAAGTGGTTAGCATGCAGCTTGTAAATTATTGAAAGAGAAAGTTGCTTGGAAAATAGTTGGCAGTCTTGCTTGATAAGCAGAATTAGTTACGCAGTTCTGTGAATTATGACTCTGTTCTTTAATTACTAAAATTTTTTGCATATTTATAATGTTTGAAGGATCTCTTGATATTGTTCATGTGCCTATTTTTCAATGACCATCTGCCCCCCCAAAATAGATGAAAAAGCCTATTGTCATGTGGTCAGTAAGCAGCATTCTGCTAGCCCTGTAGGTCCAAGAGGCTTTATATATGTTCTACTGGAACTGTTGCTTCTATGCCACATGGCAAACATTTTAGAAATTAGAGAGTACTTTCAAAAGCTGTTTGTGATACAGTAGTCCAAATTTTTAAATGTAAAAATAAAATCCAAATTTTAAATTTATTTAAAAAATAAAATTCGAAGTAAAAATAAAATCAATTGACTAGTGTAAGCCTTGTTGTAGGTGAACCTAACCAACACTTTGTATCCCAGATATACAATACAATACAACAACCCTTATTGGCATTATGCACTAAGAAGTATACAAGACATAAGGAGTACTCAGTACAGTTAACACATAACTCGCTTTTTAGAAGCCAGATATAGAAAAGTTGCCTAACCAACACTTTGTATCCCAGATATATATATTAATTTGCAAATGGGAAGAAGATATAGCCATGAAGTTATGTGCACTTTATCACTGGATCCTCTAGCAACCTTTTTTCACAGCATTTTGGCTTGGATCCTGCGTAACCATACAAAGACTTCTGCTCATGGAGTGCAGTCTTCCTACCTCACCCATCCAGTGATAGCCCCAAATGCCTGTAGAAATGATTCTTTTGGGTAGACATTTCAAGATCCTATGCAAGGGTCAACTGTGCTTTGCAGGCAGAAATCCTTGTGCCTGTGGAAATGTTAGCCTGGATACAGTTTAGGTTTTCCAAGTCTGGGTTGAGAAATTCCTGGAGGTTTGGAGGTGGAGCATTGGAGAGGGTGACGTTGGCAATTCCAGGCTGAGAAATTCCTGGAGATTTGGATGCAGCGCCTTAGGCGGAGGTTGCCAACGAAAGATTACATTATTTTTAAAATTATATTTTCTTGCATTGGAGATAGATCAAGACGGGTAGCCATGGTCTGTAGCAATAGGAGAGCAAGAGTCCAGTAGCACCTGAAAGACTAACAAAATATGTGGCAGGGTTTGAGCTTTTGTGAGCGACTGCTCACTTCTTCAGATACCAGTAACATGAACAAAAAGACTTCCCTTGTTTAGTTTTAATATAAATAGGAAAAAAACTATTCAGTCAGAGAGCTGGTGATAAATACAAATTTGCTTCCCACTGAAGTAAATTAAATGCTAGATATAGGGGGGAAATGTCTGAAGAAGTAAGCAGTGACTCTTGCTCTTTTATAGTTCTTGCATTGTTGTTCAGTCACACAGTTGAGTCCGGCTCTCCACAACTCCATAGACCAGATCACGCCAGGCCCTCCTGTCTTCCGCCGTCCTCTGAAGTTTGCTCAATTTCATGTTTGTTGCATTTATGACACTGTCTAACCATCTCATCCTTTGCCGTCCCCGTCTTATTTGACCTTCAATCTTTCCCAGCATCAGGGTCTTCTCCAGTGAGTGCTCCCTTCTCATTTGGTGGCCAAAGTATTTGAGCTTCAGCTTCATTATCTGGCCTTGCATTGCATTGCATTGCATTGGGACAGTTATATAAATATTTATTATTTATTTCATTTCATTTGAACAGGGCCAACCCTGCTTAACTCCTAAGATCTGACAAGATTGGGCCATCCTGGTCAGGGCATTATGGGGATACTCCCATTATATGGCAATGTATGTACTGCAAATGCAAAACGACAGCCTGCTCTTGAGGCTCCCTTATTGACCCCATGAGCTGGTGCCCCAAGTTCCAGGCCCAAGTTCAGTCCAGAGTCAGACAGCACCACTGCAGACATTTCTGGTTCAAACAAAGGCTCTGTCTTGTATGTAAGTGTCTGGTGCCTTAAGAAAGGAATATGGTTATTTAGTAAGATATGGAAATCTTGACCTTTGGGAAGTCTTCCTAATAGAACTTGTGGTGGCATCTTACGTTAAAAAAAATAATCCAAAGAAACAGACTGTTTTCTTTGTGATGAAAAAGTCATGTTTTCCTTGCAGAATAAACAGAATAAAAGTGCAAGGGGCATGAAATTATGTCTTCCAAATGTTTGTTCTCAGAGGTGGAATGTTTCATCTCTGTACTTAGGAGATTCCTGCACGTACTGTCCTTAGAACAGAGATGTGTCACAGTTCGTGAATATAAATGCTTGTTACAATAAATAACATACAAAGGAGACCTGTGCTATATATCTTTGGACAGGCTAAGGCTTCCGTCTTGGACAGGTACATGCTCATGATGTAGAGTTTTCTTCAGAGCATAAAGCATCCCAGCCTTGTCCCCAGAAAGAATGCCGTCCTTCCTCCCACATCTACCACAAATATTTGTTCAATAGAGAGATGCTTGTGTGTGGCAATGTGTACATAGCCTACTTCTGGGTGTGAGAATCTCTGGACTGAGTCTTAAGCAACACTGAATTAGGTATACTCAAGTCCCATTGAAGTCAATAGGACTAAAGTACTTGTGATATGTTGACATACTATGAAGACATTACATGCACTTAAGCAAATGCAAACCTACTGGACACTGGCTCTTAACGTTTAAATTAGTATCACTTACCTAGTATTAAATATCATCATCCAAAACTCCACAGGCCACAAGTAAAAAATTAGGACATAGAAACAATACTCCAGGCAAGGCAATTTTATAGAAATAGGTACTTATGCATACAATATATAGATATCACATTCAATGAGACCATTATGACTGATAGCTATCAGCAATTTTAAATGTTGGGTCTGATTTGCTGTATACCACTTTTTAAAGTGTGTACCACTTTTTAAAGGCCTGGGAAGAAACATAGTTCTAGGATCTTATCCCCAGTGCAGAGAGAGTAATATAAAACAGCTCTCCTCCAGTAACTGTCAGAAGCCACTGCAAGTAGGGAGAGGCACTGCCTAAAATCCTGGGTCGGGTCCCTCCCCCCTCCCCCCTCGAAGTTCTGAATGCTCCTCAGAGATTTATGGACCATATGGCCCCTGTGCAGGATCAAGTTTCCTGACCTAATTAATTTTTTAATAGTATATTTGATCATGGAGTTGAATATCCACCGCCCACCATATGCTCATGGAAAAAATTAGGATGTCATATGTACCCGTTCCAGAGTTCCATCTTTTTATCATATTCTGGCATCACAGACCTGTAATGAAAACTAAAGAACCTAGAGGTAAGTTCTTGCATTCTTTGTGATCCCAAATAATAAAGAGAACTTTACCACACATAAGTGAATAGGTGCCATTTAATCATACTGGGGGGAGGGGATTAAGTGTGGACACACCTTTGTGCAGAGGGCTCTACTACTATGCCAGTCTCCTATTGAGAGGTACTAAAAGTGGAACATAATATGTCTTTGTACAAAGAGAGTCCTGAAATTACAGACAGACTAGTGTGTACAGATTGATTTACAGCCTATGTTTACCTTCAGTATTTTCTTTTTGCTCAAGTTCCTGTGACATTTTTGACAAAGTGGCATAACTGCTCTTTTTTTCAGCAAGTGTATGCATTTTATGCTTTAATTTGTCATTTCTTTCATATCCCTGTGGCCATAGTAATTGCCCTAAAATGACATCCATATTGAAAACCTAAATTTAGTAGTATTAAAAAAATATGTCAATTAATAAATATGATGTACATGATATGCACTGAAAAGAGTGTTCAGATCTCCAAAAGGGACAATATATGCATACTCTTTCCAAGCAGTCACTGAGCAAGAAAAATTCCATATCACATCACTGATGTTCCCTCTAAGCTCCACAGTGTTGTAAACAGAAATTCTACCTCATGAGCGAAAAAAGCTAGTAGCATTAAAGTTGTGAGCAAGTCTACATTTGACTATTGCATGAATTATTTTTAGATTATTTCTATAACCTTGTAAAAAACTCAGAATGAATTCTTTTAAACTAAATGTAAACTATATTTTAAGAATAATGTAAACATTATAAGAGAAAATAGAATCAAGTCAAACTCCTACAAGACAATGACTCAGCCCTACCCACCTTTTGGAGTAGATATAAATTTACTGCCTACCATTTTCTTCTCACCTTGGCACAGAAAGTATCCCATCTTTCTGTGTTTATACCTCTGAGGATGCCAGTCACAGTTACTGGCGAAACGTCAGGTTCTACAATGCCAAGACCATGGCCACACATCCCGGAAAATCTACAGCAACTAACAAGTCAAATTTCATTACACAAAATGTTCTCCTATACAGGGGTAGACCAGGTGTCCAAAGAAGAGGTCTAGCTGCCCCTTTCTACTACATTGGTAGACCTGGCCTTGGACCGTCGCCCCGCGCTCACCCTTAGAAAACTTACCAGCACTTTGTGGGGGGGACTCTTGTCTACTTTGTTGGGGTTTTTTAGTGAAATATGACAACCAGCATTACAGGCCAAGTATGACAGATATGGAACAATCACTGTCAGAATGCTGCCTAACCTAACAAACAGAAGTTGCTTAAATGTTATCAAGCTGCCCAAACTACTTATTTATTCATATATTTATGTCCCACTTTTCCCTGCGATTCAAGGCAGCTTACCTACCTCACAGGGTGTCTGTTGTGGGTAGGGGAAGGGAAGGGAAAGGAGTTTGCAAGCCGCCCTGAGACTCCGAGGGAAGGGTGGGGTATAAATCCAATCTCCTCCTCCTCTTCTTCTTCCAAATCAGACTGGAAAGCATAATAGGAATGTGCAATAAAAAATCCCCCCTTTTCCAGCTTCATTATAACCTATGGGGACCATTATACTCAATGGGCCCCATAGGCTATATTAGAGAATTGATCCAGGTGTATCTGGGGTTCAGGGAGGCTTTTTTTTGAGGTAGAGGCACCAAATTTGCTACATAGCTGCTTGTGCCTCTTCTCAAATCCCCCCCCCCCCCAATTTTAAGAAAAATGGGACGGGGGTTTTGTTGTAGAAAAAGAGCTGCCGGAGCTCATTAGCATAACTCATTAGCATAACTTATTTGCATATGCCACGCCCCCTGACATCACCGGAAGTGACAGAAGGCCACACCCCCTGACATCACCGGAAGTGTGTCAGAAGGCCCGGCTACTTACCCTCCTGCTTCATCCTCATTCCCAAACGGAATGAGGATCGAAGCAGAGGGCGGGGTAAAGAAGGGGGCGGGGCTTCACCACGTGACCGCCCCGCCCCCTAGAGGTTCTCTTCCGGAGCTCCGTACCTGAGAGCTCCCCCCCGACTAGAGCCCTGGGGATTTCTATCCGACAACAGGTATTCTAATTTAATTTTGTTTGCTCTTCCTGGGAACCTTTCCAGCAGCGGACCGATGATTTCTTTTCGGCTTGCCGTATGGAAAGAGCATATTCTGACACTGCAACATCTTATAGAAAAATACAGAGCTAGAGAACAAGTGTCACTCTATGCAGCATTTGTTGACCTTTGTTGCAGCCTTTGACACAGCTTCCAGAGCTAGGCTTTGGGAAAGATTACAGACCTTCAACAATTAACAAGCGGTTGCTGCACCTTATTCGGGCTCTCCACGAGCAAACTGCTCTTAGAGTGAGGTGTAGTCGGTTAGGGCACCTGTCAGAACCCATCCCAACATTTAGGGGAGTCAGACAGGGCTGCCTTTTAGCCCCACACTGTTTCTCTTTTACATTAACAACCTGGTAAATTTCATGAATGATCCCAGTTTCCATTTCCCCCAAACTATCAGCTCGATACATCCAAGTGCTACTGTATGCGGATGATGCCATTATTCTCTCCAGAACTCCTACAGGGCTGAAACGGGCTCTGAAAAAATTCTCCCTTTATTGTGAAATTGAGCATCTTAAAATTAACCATCAGAAAACAAAGGTCCTGGCCTTTGGGAAATATACAAGGTCCAGGTGTTGGGAGCTGCAAGGACATAAGCTGGAACAAGTATCCAGCTTCAAATAGTTGGGAGCAGCAGTGCAGGCTTCTGGTTCCAACAAAATTCATAACAGCAGCGCTGCCAATGTAGGAGAGAAATCGGCAAATAGTATCCTGAAATTCTACCGGACACAGGGGGGGCTACAGTGTCCCAGCTGCACTTCGCTTGTTCAAAGCCAAGGTGTTGACCCAGTTAATCTACGGAACATTTCTGGGGTCTTCAGCTTCCTCCCTCTCTCCTCTCGAGAGAGTTCAATCAAAATTCCTTAGAGCGCTAATTCAGGTACCCAAGTGTGTATCAAACTCCTGGGTTCGCTTGGAAACAGGAATGACCCGGGTAGAAGCTAGGATTTGCATTCTTTCCATACATAAATGGATAACGGCCAGTAGTAATCCAAAGGGGCTGTTTCCTCTCACCCTGCGTGACCAATTTCAGAGCAGTTGGCTACAAGTGGTTCGAATGTCCATTGAAAAGCTGGGTTTCCCCCCCACCCAAGTCCTCCTGAATCTTGGCATAGATCAGACCGGGAGTCCAATTATATGGGCCCCAGAAGGAGGTGCGCCCATCCTCCATTGTTTCCTATGGAAGCTTGGTTGTGAGCTGGACAGAAATCCTCCGAGCTGGCCTTTGAAATGTTGCGTGCCAGCTCCCCTAGTGCAGCTTAGAGGGAACTGTGGACATCAGGAACATTCCTGTGTGGATATGGCACATGGCTCTACCTTGCAAATGGTGATGGAAAAGTGCTGTCAGGTAACAGCTGACTTATGGTCACCCCATAGGGTTTTCAAGGCAAGAAACATTCAGAGGTGGTTTGCCATTGTCTGCCTCTGCTTCATGATCCTGGTATTCCTTAGAGGTCTCCCATCCAAATACTAACCAGGGCTGACCCTGCTTAGGTTCCAAGATCTGATGAGGTCAGGCTAGCCTGGGCTACCCAGATCAGGGCTAATCTTATATTCTAATAGTGAAGTCAGGATATTTTTGGATACTTAAATCCAGTGGCTGAAGCTGTGAATAGGCAAGACAGATCTTTCTGCAAACCTGAAAAGGATCCTAGGTTTGCAGGAAAATGTGAAATCTTTAAAAAACTAAAAAACCCACTGGGCAGCTTTAAAAAATCCAAAAATGATAAAGGGAGCTTTAAGCAATGGATTCCCTCAGTGGCTGTTGTAGGGTTGCCAGGCCCTTGGTCTGAGTGGGGATTCCCCCGATTTTGGGGGCTTCTTCCTGCTGCCAGCCAGCTGGCTGGTGGGGGAAGCCCCACCCCCAAGAAAAACCACCTGCTGCCACCCCTCCTGTAAGATTCACCACTTAGAGTGCAGACATGCATGGCTCCCCCACTCTTACCCAAAAGCATCAAAAGGGGACCCTTTAAATGCTTTTGGGAAGAAGTGAGGCCAGGTGCGCATGGCCTCCCCCCTTGCCAAAAGATCCTTCCCCATCGTGATAATGTCACTTCTGCATGATGTCATTGCATTGGGGACATCCCTTCCCCTTCCAGTAACGCCCCTCCCCCAATTCCCTCGCTGGGGACTTGGAAGGACCTGGCCACCCTAGCTGTTGCTAGGCAACCACAGGATTTCAGGCTTCAGTTTCTGTTAGTGAAAAGGTAGAGGGAGGGGGCAAAGCCCTTTCCAGCCCTTTGGCCTTTGAAGGAGAACTCATTGAGGCCAGGCTTGGCTAGGGTTGCCAACTCCAGGTTGAAAAATTCCTGGAGATTTTGGAATAGAGTCTGTGGAGGGCAGGGTTTGGGAAAGGGAGAGGACTCATCTGAATATAATGCCACAGAGTGCACCCTGCAAAGCAGTCATATTCTCCTGGGGGACACATCTCTATTGCCTGGAGTTCAGTTGTAATTCTAGGATATTTTCAAGTCCCACTTGGAGGCTGGCAACCCTAGGCCTGGAAGCAAGCTCGGGATGACTTGATACCACCCAACTTCCATGACTCAACTAGGTCTGGCTGCTTGCTACTGTTCACCAGCAGCCTATGAAAGTCAGTGTGGTATAGTGGTTAGAGCTCCAGAGTAGGGTCTGGGAGACCCAAGTTCAAATCCCATCTTACTGTTGAAGCTCATTGGGTGATTTTGTACCAGTCACATACAGGCCTGTAGCCACGGGGAGGGGGGGGCTTGGGGCAATGCTCCCTCCTGAATTTGCCCTGCCCCCTCATCTTCTGGTCCCCCCTCCCCCAGGAGGCAGAGAGAGCCTGGTCCTTCTTGGGAGGGAAGCAGTTGAGCGAGTGAGAGTGGCAGGAGAAGGAGCGCAGCCCCAGGCGGGGGGAGCCAGGCAGCCTCCTCCTTCCGGATTTAGTCTCTTCCTCCTCATCGGCCAGAAGCTGGTTGGGTGAGAGGGGGCAGGCCCTCATTCCCCGCTGCCCTCCCAGGGAGGGGGGCTGCCATGGGTGGTTCTCCACTGATTGAGCTCTGTCTGTCCGTCTCTGCAGCTCCTTAGGGAGTAGATGTTACCTGGCTCACCTGTCCACTTCTCTTCTTCCTCTGTCCCTCTGGCTTGCTTTTTATCACCAGGAGCCTTGGAAGGCCCTCTTATGACATATTACAGCTTCTTTGCTCCCTTATCAGGAGTATCCTGCACAACATGGTGGGGAGAGATGGATGCATGGAGCAGGAAGAGTGGCTGCAGCTAGATCACCCGAGAGGGGCTTTTGAGGGGATCTCAGAATCTGTGTGCGGGCTCTGTTTGGTCCTTTGGCACCAAAGGAGAGTCTTTGTGGCAGGGCACCTCATAACCAGCTGGTTGGCCTGCTGCTCCCTTTTCTGTATATCACAGGAAAGGCATCGGCCCTCAATTTAGACCAGGGTGGGTGTCTGCGTGTGCGTCTGCTGGCTTGGCCTCCTTTGCCTTCCTGCAGTCTGTAGCGACGCTTAATTAAATTATCACTGATTTTCTGTCACCAAATAGTGATAATTAATTAATCTCGCTGCTTGCCCACCTAAATTTTGGAACCCCCACCCAAAATTTTCTGGCTACCAGCCTGGTCACATACTTCCAACCAAACCTACCTGAGTTGTGTGGATAAAAAGCCCCAGTGTGGAGAAAGGTGGGGTTTAAATGAAGTAATAAAGAATAAACATAGCTGAAGATGGGAATCAGATAATAGGTAGGTTGGTGAATGTCTGAGAAGGAGAGAATCAGGCAGGGAGCGGATATGGGAATTGCCAAGAGGAGGGAAGGAGGTTAGGAAATTCCTAGAGATTTGGGGGAGAAGCCTGGGGAGGGGGGTTGAGGAGGGGAGGGACCTCAGAGGGCTATTATGCCATAGACTCTATCCTCCAAAGCAGCGGTTTCCTCCAAGGGAACTAGGGTTGCCAACCTCCAGGTGGGGGCTTGAGAGCAACTGGAATTACAATTGCTCTCCAGATGATAGAGATCATTTTCCTGGAGAAAATGGTTGGTGTGGAGGGTGGACTTTATTGCATTATACACTGCTGAGGTTGCTTCCCTCCCCAAGCCTCACCTTCTCAAAGCTCAACCCCCAAATCTCCAGGAATTTCCCAACCTTGATTTGGCAAACCTACGGGGAACTGATCTCTGTAGCTGGAAGATCTGTTGTGAAACCAGGAGATCTCCAGCCCACTCCTGGAGGTTGGCAACCCTTGAAGGAAACAGGACAGGGGGAGAGGCTCTGGTGGCTTTCAGGAAAGGCAAAGAGGAAATAGTGGGAGAGGGAGAAATGAGATGCCTCCTGCAAGTCCTTGTGGGTTCCCACTTGTAGTTATAACGCCTAAAATACTTACAGAACCTTGCTCCCCACACATCTGAGTTATGTAATAGCCTGGGGGAAGAGCTAATTTGTTTGTAGGAACTTATTTGCCTGACGGTCCACTTAGAATCTATTGTTACACACACCACAGGCAACTGGATTACCAGAATGGGAGTCATTTCCACTTGTGTCAGCATAATAGCCACAGTTTATTTGGTCAGTTGAGTCATATCTCATTTTAGCCCCAGAATAGTGCTGAAGGTTATATTAAATGGTAACACTTTTCCAGGGTCATCTATGGAACTTCTTATCCAATCCAAATTCTTATCTAAATTCATCCTGGTATTGACACTACACCATATCAGTGAGTGGAGAAGAAATGAATGGTATGTGGAGTTGACTTGAACAATAAGCAGAACCAAGGAATCAGTTAAACCACTAAGTAAGGCAAATGTGGAGAAGAAATCTGAAGAAGCACAGGACAGAGACAGGCACCCGAGTGGTACAACAGCCATGTGTGTGCACGTGTATAACCACTCACTGGGTGTGTTTTTCTTTTCAATCCTCAGGAAGAGGCAGCCAGAATTCTCGCCCACCAGCCAGTGTCCGTCGGCACATGTGCAGCTTTGAAAAACCCCAAACTGCAGTGAATGTGTAAGAGACGCTGCATGACAAACAGTGGATTTTTTTTACCCATTGTTTTCTCTTTCTCATGACTTCATCATTTCTGATAATGGGACAAATGTGGTGCATGCCATTAATGATTGGAAAATTGCTTATGTGTCCCATTTTTCACACTGACTTGACTCTTGCTTGTCCATATACTCTTCAGAGGACACCGTGAAATCATTTTTGAAAGATCTTTTTTTTGTTTTTAGTGGTTGTCACTTCAATGCTTGCTGACAGTTACAAAAAGAAAGTAAAATATATTTTTCTTGCTAACTTCTCTTTCCCCCTCATCTAGCCAACACTTTCCCCCTTTTCACAGTTTTGCATGGAAGTGAAATTATCCTGACTTCTTTCAATGACCAATTTTCATTTTCTGCATCTTTGTTGTGCCCCATGCAACCTCCCCAGTCAGTGAACTTCAACTGTGTGTTATTGGGGAGGGAGTTAACAACACATGGCTTTTGTAAAAGACATGAAACACAGAGTTTAATGTAAGTGACTGTGTACAAGATCCAGATCACCACAGGAAATGGTGAAGAAAAAAACAAAAGTGATGAAAAACCTTCTGATATCTTTTTTTACTTTTCTCCTTTATCAAGTTTAAATAGGCTTACAGCTTATAGGTGCCGACAGTCACAGATACTTAGACAAAACTGAGTTGTACGCCTGAACTTATAGCTAAAGATCAAGTATGCTCTCCTACCTGGATTTAAACTATTGGACATACATTCATTTTTGATTTTGTGTGAATGTATATATTAGAATACTTACTCGCAAAGTTAGGTCTTCAACGTACACTAAAGGCTGAAACACCATTAAGATACCTAGATATAACATAAAACTAAACCACTAAATGTAAACTGTATAGGTGTAATCCCATATGAACTGCTTTACTGCAAAGCAAGTTAAAATGTGGTGTGCAATGCAACAGGGCTCAGTTTGGGGTATTTCACCTGTAGCAACCTTCAGAGACTATTCCTGTTCCTTCCTCTTGTGACTATTTGGATTTCCCTCTTCAAAACATGGTCCACTGCAAACATATCCAGTGTCAAAATGCATTTATCACAAGGGGAAATTATAAATGTGTTAGTTCTGTGTATCTTGTCCATGTAGGCTTGTTTGCTTGGCGTGTATGTGTTGTCACAAGTATATCAATCAGTATAGCTATTGAAGCATCATTGCTTAGGGTAATACTCTGTTTTTGTTTCTTTTTGCTACATATATAGAATTGTAGAACCCGCTTCCACTCACCTATGACACCTCTTTGAACAGAGTTCCCATGTTAAGAACGTCTCGTTACATTAATACTTTACCAAATCTAAACCTGGAGCTTACTTCACTTCCCATTCCCAGTATCATTAATAATAAGTCCCTGCCAAATAAATTAAGCTGAGAACCCATTCCTGTTGAAAAAACTCTAACCCTGTCCATGTAAGACTTTTCACCTTGTCAGTGGTTCTGTAGACCTGCAGTGAGAAACAGATGAACCTCAAAACCATAGTCATAATACTCAAAGAGACAGCTAGCATTCCCCCCCTCCCCTGTATAGCCATCCACCCTTCAACAGTCAACCTTTACTATCCAAACATAGTGTGGCAGGAAACAGATACCTTATATGCTTGCAGAAATATCCTGATCCAAAACAGGATAAGAAAACCCCAAATATACATCCAACTCCAAATATACATTAAGTTTGATCCTCTTTTTTTTTAAAGAAAATAATTTAAAACATTTTTTTTTAAAGTTTGATCTTGAAAATATTCTTTTTAAGAACACATGTTGCATTGCCACATGTTTATTACGCTTCAGTCCTAGTTTGAATCTAAATGCACAACCAGCTCCTGGTCAAGAAGCTTAGATGGCCTATGACTGGGTCTCATAAACCCTAATGTGTTGGGTAGGCACATAAGCAGAATAAGTTTTAAGAGGGTGGTTTTTGTTATTTTAAATGGGTAAACATAACAGCCAAAGGCTACAAATGCAGTCAGTTTGAGAAGCTCCCAAGATTGGTTTAGTTCTTCATAAACAGTGCTGCCTAAAGTCATGTGTGCATCACACTGCACTTTGCTTTACTTTGGTGTGCTGTTAATTCTCATTGTTTACATTGCCTTTTTATCTGATAGTGTCTAGGTGTTCTCATATTATAAGGCTACAAATGCAGTCAGTTTGAGAAGCTTCCAAGATTGGTTTAGTTCTTCATAAACAGTGCTGCCTAAAGTCATGTGTGCATCACACTGCACTTTGCTTTACTTTGGTGTGCTGTTAATTCTCATTGTTTACATTGCCTTTTATCTGATAGTGCATCTTTGTGGCATCTTCTGGCAAAAGGGGTCTACATATGGCTTACTTTTCATCACCCTCCCAGCTTCCTATTCCCCCACACCCAGAGTTTTATGGTCTTTTGAAACAAAGCATATTTTTGTGTCCATAGGCATCGGCTATGCCTACTATATTTGTATTTGATGCATTTTTCATCATAATGAATGTTGAGGCTGAATTTGTGTTACTGTTCTAAGTGTAGTCTTGACAGTTTCATGTTTCTAATGAAGGAGGGGCATAAATTTGTGACAGCATGCCTGATTTATAGTTTCAACAGATGCCCATTTTTTAAACTAAAGAAGTTATCCTGTATTATTTTTATCATATCCAAACCAATTCCCATATATTATCACAGCAAGATATGCAAGTTACATGAGTCAAAAACACACAATAAATGTTGCAGATGGGGACCAGATGTCCTATAACTCTAAAAACATGTTTTTAGTGAGGTATTTGAGTTTTCATATAATATTCTCTATCTCATTTATATTTTTCTAATGATAGGTGTAGGCAATAGCCATCGTTAGAAGGAAAGGTTTTGAAAATCTTATCTTGTCCTGATGGCGTATTATGAGTTCACCTGCATTTACTGTACAAGCTGTGGAAGTCTCATTGATATCAATTAAATCAATGACAAGTAGAAGTAAACAAAGTTAGGACTGGATTGTTAGGGAGGATCTAAAGAAATTAGCCTACTGCATTGTGCAATTTCTTCCACTTTCCTGGTGGTCACTTAAAATGACAGTCATTACTGGTTGAATCCCTTTTGATGGTATAAAGTCATAATAAATATTCCCTTTGCAATGGTGGGGGAAATGGCATATAAGCTTTAACTTATAAGAGAAAAATCATCTTTTTGCTATGGAGTCAGAACAGATTTTGTATAACTATTAGGAAAGAATTCCCAGCAAACAAGGGTATTTCATTTATGGAGTTAAGTTCCCTAGAGAATTATTGCATCTATTCCTTTAGAGCCTTTTCAGAATATTGGATGATTGGAGGTGGTTTAGGTTTAGGGATTTTTGTCTCTGAAAGGGAAGGCACTACTAACATGGTTGAGTTGAACACTTTCATTTTTACAGTTTAATTTAGAAATACCAAAAACAGATGGTGGAATGAATTGGGATTCCATATTACAGAACTGCCTGACAACTGTATGAAAGGAAAAAAAGCTTAGAAGGCTTTTAGAAATGTGAAGTGGAAGTCATTTGGGAATATATCTTGAAATGCTTAAGGGTGGGAAACTGGTACCAATACCTTCTATTAGTCACATAATTAAAAATAATCCTGGATGTTTAAAAATCTTCAAAACTTCTAAGGAAGCTGAAGTCAACATTTATTAGAGAATGTCTAGTACTATGGGAGAACAATTAGGCAGAATTTTAACAGTTTCAGTTTCTTGCAGTCTCTTATGATCCAGGCCTTTTGTTTTAGATGTTGGGTGGAATTGCATGTTTTAATATATGTATTACTGCCACCAAAAACTGCAGTTGTGCACCGCTAAGCCCTCATGCAGAGTTGGTTTTGTAATGAACTGAGGCAAGACAGTAGATTTTGGGGGACAGCAACCTTCACCTTTTCTGCTGTCATTGCTGTCTCACCCATGACTCCATTGCCCTCATGTCGCCCTTGCTCCTACCCACCCCTAGTCCCATTGTCTGCACCCTGCCCCATAGTGGGCATATGTGGCTTGTTCTGCTTTGTTTCAGGGTGCCAGGGAAACAAGGAGGAAGTAACATTCAGCTCCTTGGTGGGGGCAGGAGAGTCAGGCACCAGCAGCCAGGGGGGCAGCTGGAAAGACAACCTCAGACAGCTCCTCCCCCTGCTCAGCTGCCATTGCATTAATGTGTCGTAAAGGAATATGTAACAACATCACTGTATGCCCACCTACTCAGCTATCACATGTTTCTATTGACAAGCAGCGAGGCAAAGAGTCGAGATGCAACTTTGGTGAGAAGGCTGTTCTCAGTGCTGCAGTTTATGGTGGCATCCGTGTATCTTCTGTAATACGTAGTTCTTCCCATGCAATAAGCTGGCTTCACTTACTAACAGCAGTAACTGTTAGTTTCAAGAGCATCTGCTGTTTTTCATAGTATTTTATTTTGAGTGCGGAGAGAACTCAATATTACAGAACACATCTGTAGGGGTGGTTTTATTATCTATTTACTTACTTATGTGTGCCTGCCTATGCGCGCCTGGCGTAAATGTAAATAAACCCATCTTTATTCTGTTCATAGTTCTAATGGCAAGTCTGTGTCATGGTCTGAACCAGGTGGAAGACAAGCTCCCAAGGGACAGCATATGTGGCACAGACTCTCAGTGCATGTGAAGAGCAAGGAGCCAGGATCCAATCAGACCGCAGTGATCAAGCCCCTCACTAAAAGCTACCCAGCCCAAGGCAAGAGCCTGACTTTTTCAGACATCAGCAGTAAGACTCTGTACAATGTGGTGGAGGAAGAAGAGAGTGAGCCTGTGTGCTTCAGCCAGCTGAGCAGTCCTCCCACAATTGTGCACAGGAGAGTCACAGTGACGCCGCCCCTGCAAGTATCTGCAGACGAAGCCCGCCTGTTCTTGTCTGAACAGAGTCCCAAAAGCCTCCCGCCACCTCAGAG